ATGCTTCTGCAAAATGAAAAATTTCACACCATTAACAGTTAAACAGGATGAAAGTGAAAAAGGAAATGTAGATAATGACTATATATTGCATTATAAAAGGTTGTATTCTGAAATATAATAACTGTGTATCAATACTTGATTTAAAAAGTATGTGCTTTGACCTTGAATGTTAAGAGCATGTCAGCCAGGAGAAAGTGCATGCTGCCTGACTAAATGATATTTAAAAATTACTTGAGAAAATGACAACACACTCGTGGAAATAGATGGAAAAAATAAATGAGGGAAATTTTGGTCTTTATGTCTGCATTAACTAAAAAAGAAACACCCATAAATTAGCTTACCAAGTGTTGTCTGGATAGATGATGTGTTAAGAACTATTTGAGAAAACAACATACTTGAGGAAATGGAAGGAAAGAATAAATGTGGGCAATTTGTAAAAAATTAGGACTGACTTAATAAAAAAAAAAACACCATAGATAATTAAGACTCTTACCCCTCTTCAATACTTCTTATATCCATGTCGTCAATGATGGATGCAATTTGTCTTTCACAAGCAACACTCGTCTCTAGATACTGCTTCTGATAATTGGAAACACCCGAGTTTTCAAGAAGTTTATGAGTGAACTGCAGCCCATTTAAAGGGTTCTTGATTTCTTGCTTAATGTACGCCAAATTATCACGTTTCAATACAAATTCTCCTTCATCTTCACCAAAAGACACTTGCGGACTAGTCTGCAAGAAGAAAAAACACCCAACCACTTTTCCTCCTTCACCAACTTTTTTATTTGCTGTCAGATAAACCTCCACAAGATTCCCATCTCTCCCAAAAAACGCAAATGGCATATCGGAGGTATCATGACCATTGATTGTTCTATACAACAAAATCGTAAATTTCATCAACGTGTCTTCATCTTTGAGGCGACATAAACCCCCAAAAACCTCCCCAGGAAGCACTTTTCCGATAACTTCATGTCTCCGGCGACCGGAAAGCTCTTCCATGGCGGCGTTCCATTCAGAACAACAGGCCTTCTCATTGGAAGCAAATAAAGGAGGAATAAATGGATTTAGAGTTTGTATAATCGCCTTATAATCTCCTTCCATGCGTACGAATTTATCCATGACAATTTTCTCGGTTGTTACATCTTGGCCCACGAAGCAGACGCCTATTACATTGTTCATGTAGTCCCGGCTTGTGCATGTATTAGCCACGATGTATATAGTGGTGTTGTTTTGCTGATCTGTACCAGCCTTCCGTAGTTCCAGTTCAACATTTTTCTCTTCCTCACCTGTATAAACAAAGCATGTGAGACTAGAACTACCACGAGAAGGAGAACTCGATCAGAAGATACAAATTGACTTAAGAAGGAGAAAAATTCAAGATATTAATATGTATATTGTAAATTTTATCTAACATTCTAACTCAAACTAAAGTAAATTTACCAGATAATCTTATTGGGCAAAATGACTTAGAAGACCATCAAAGTTTCAAATTCTTTTAAAAAGAACCATTCAAGTGTTATATGTTCAAAAAACACCATCAAACTAAGATATTTGTTCAGAAAATATGTATCTCGTTCAAAAAACATCATCTCTATGGTTTGAGGTAACTTTCATTTTTAGTCATTAATTTTTTTTTCTCAACTCGGATGGTCCCTATAGTTTAATTTTGTTTTGACTTTGGATCCTGATCGAGTTAAAAGACTAATATACCCCTATTACTTTCATTTAACATTATTTTTATCATTTATTAATTATTTGTACAAATTATATTGTTATTTATTATAGATATATCAATTTTATAAATAATTAACAAGTAATAAAAATAAATGTTAAATGAAAGTAATAAGGGTATGTTAGTCTTCGGATCAGGGTCCAAAGGCAAAATAAATATAAACATTATGGACCATTCAAGTTAAGAAAAAAACTTAGGGACTAAACATGTAAGATACCCCAAACCATACAAATGGTGTTTTTTTAACGGTGTTTTTTGAACATGTAATACTTGAATGATGTTTTTTGAACAAATTTAAAACTTCAATAGTCTCCTCTCTCACCCGCATCTTTAAGAATTTCTAGATTAAAATGTTCATTATTTTAAGTTTTTAACTAGTGTAACATTCAAACATGTACATTTTTATTTCCATTTCCCTATTTTGTTATGATCTTGATCACCTTATAATTTTTTTTCATATATAAAGTTTCCCAAAATTAGTTGTTTTACAATTTATTCTAATCAAGTACTCCCCGCCTAGGCTGAGTACTCACTACTCCCTACTCCCTCCCTGGTCGACCGACCTAGTAGCACCTAGCGAGTTTTGCAATATTGGTTAATACCACTAAAATCACCAACAAGATTATCCACCTGAGTTCTTTAACCAATGTGTACGAGGCAATGTTTCAACAGATACACATGAGGGGTACACTTTGGTATGTTTATACCAATTGCTAGGAACCCGCACTAACTAGGTCTATGTTGGGGTATTGTGTATATTTATGAGGAAATCTCATACTTTAGAAGGTTAAAAGAGACGGGGTTAGCTCCGTAGATCGAGCCATGCCACTCAAATGTAAGAGCAATTGGATATGACACTTGACAAATGGATTACAAGATTCCATCAACTTATTTAAGGGACTTGTACTACAATAATGAAAAAACAATAAAAATGTTATAACTACGTTTTGATACATATTTTGACGTAAAACGGGTGAAACTAGATTGTTGATATGTGGGTGAGTCGAGATTTAATGATCTTCATGGGCTACAACTAAGGACTTAAATATATACCCCCCCCCCCCCCCCCCTCCCCACCCACCACACACACACACTTTTTACATAAAAAGTTGCAAAAAAAACCTAATAACTAAGTTGCACTATTATGAATGCTTCAATTGAAATTAAGTACATAGATTTTTATAAAAAGATGTACCTTTCAACGCTCTACGGAGAAGATCTTCAACGACTCCATGTGACGTTTCAAGAATAAATTCATCAATCAAAGACTTCCCCATAGCTTCACTAGCCACCACACCGGTCAACTCTGCAATTTTTGCATTCCATCCATTGATCAAACCAGATCCATCAACCCCAAAGATCGGGACAGACGCCGTTTCAATCAATCTCACCATTTCACATGCAACAGCACTGATTTCATCCATCCCTTGACCTATACTCTCACTTTCTTGACCATATTTCACCACCTTACGACCATCACCACCATTATTGGCATTATCTTGAACCGATGCTCTCATTATCAACTGCAAAGAATGAATCACATTTATCTCGGAAACTTCCCATGGCAAACTTCGACTCTTTGCCACTTCAAGAAACGCCTTAAAAGAAGATCTTGGATCCATTCTATTACCATCATCTTTTTCCTCGGGATGATGCTTTGCCCCTCCCCAAGTCGTTTCTTTTTCTTTATGTGATCTAAACCAAAACACAAAATCTTTAGAAGTGATTCGTGCGGCAGCCATACCACAAACCGCATCACCAAGCAAAACCGCACTAGGATAACCAGCATTTAACAAACTCTCGGTACTGAATCCCGTTGAGTCCTTATGTTCACTATACAACCAATTAGCTATATCCATAACTTGTGATTCATTTGGAGTTACACCAAGTAACCAAACTTTCCCATTATAATACAAACCCGCCCCATCACATTTCACTAAATCCATTATGCTAGGAGACTGAGTTATAATCGAAAAAGGGGAATCTCTTAGTACCATGTCACATAAAGTCGTTTGCATACTGAGAACCCTTTTTTCGGCTTTCTGTTCGGCTAATTGAAGTTCCATATAAAGCTGTAAACCAACCGATTGCATTAGAAACTCACACGCATATCGAAGTGGGAACGGGACATAACGGGGAGAAGAGTGGTGGCATGCCACCAACCCCCATAGCTTCATGGATTCATTGTTATTTACAAGAATTGCCATCACCAAAGACCCGATGGAACCCATGTTAGCCATGTAAACCGCATGGCACCCATGCGGGGCTCGAAGGGTAGAATTAACCAAACATAAAGGTTGCTTTAATTTGTCACTTTGAATCACTCGAACAGATTCCGCACAACAATCAACTATTATCCTTACACGATTCTGTTTGAACAAGAATCGAGCTGCTTGTGGGATGTCTGTAGCTGGATAGTGAATTCCCAAATACGGTTCTAAATCGGATCTTCTAATTTCTGAAACAACTTCACCATGTTCATCGTCATGGAACTTGTAAATCATTACCCTATCATAACCTGTAAGCTTTTGAACTTCTTCTACAACAGTATCACATAGAGCCCCGATATCTCCTCCAGGGAGAGATTGCATTCTAGAACTTGCTCTAACAACAAGTTTTTGTGATTGAACTGCACCAGCAAGTAATAAGGTGGGATCACTAGAGTTAGCCGGCTCTAAATCAATCACAACACCCACATCAATCCTATGGAGAATAGCATAAAATGGTTTACGGGTCTTTTTAGAATGAACCCAAATCGGGTTTAACAAAGTGATTTCTCTAGAAGCCACTGCTCTTTGTAACGAAATCGAAGAACTTGAGGTGAAAAGGGTTCTAGCATCGATTCCGAGCAGACTTTTGGGCTCATCCGGATTCAAATTCAACACACTGAAGCAGTTTTCACTAAAACTTATAATTCTAAAAGTGGGTTCTTCGATTGCGACCATACAACCAAAAGGTTGAACGAAGCCACCCCTTTGAATTGCTTCTAAATAAGCAGTCATTTCTTTTTCCTCCACATCATTTGGTGCATTTGTGAGCATATCCGAGTAGTTAAAAGACTTACCAGATCCGACAGAACGCTCAAACTCTGATAATAACCTCGCATCAACACCATACTGAGCCAAGGTGTGGTTGTTATTCGTAGGATTCATGTTGCTTCCACCTGATGATGATGAAGGTGCCGCAGTGGTGTTATGGTTGTTAATGGTTGGCTCGTCTGGCTTTACTCCTCTAATCCCTAACTCCATTTTTGAGCACTTCTATGGAAGCTTTCTTTCTGTTTCTTGAAAAAATTGAACTGGGTTCAATGCAAAAGGTTGGCAGATGGTATAGAATCAGCACTCTTGTTGTAAATGATTGAGTTTCTTCTTCATTTCACTTGGCTTCTTCATTAGAATAAACCGGGATTAACTTCAGCAAAAACAGTACAGTTTCTTACTGAAAAGATAAAAAAAGGGAGAAATACTGGAACTTTATAACGATGGTGTGGACCAAGAAAAAGGTAAAAGGATTACACAGACGAAAAAGAAGATTCCGAGATAATAAAGGAAGAGAATCACAAATCCATCTGTCACAATCTGTAACTCATTCTTATTAGAACACGAAGCTCCTAATTCCAAAATCTGCCTTCCAAAATGCCCATGTTCCGCATATAAAAATGGTTCAGGTGACGTTGGATTGGGTATGAAAAATAGAAGTAAAAGACGAAATGAAAACCCGAAAACTGGTGGTTTAGAATAGACATCGGAAAGAGGGGCTGGGTAACATCCAATCTATCCATTTGAAGTAATTTGGAATGTGGTGGGGGAAAGATGACAGGTTTAATAGGCCGCCACACGTGGAACAAATAAGAAGTAAAGATTGGCGTGGCATAGATGGCACCAAGCATTCACCATCTCTTCATGCTACATGTATTTGAAAATTTTATTTTTATAATTAAAATTGATTTTAATAAAATGTTATGTAAAATATAGGAAATATTAGTTTATTTTTTTTTCTATAAAAACTAGATCATATCGATGAAAATATACATTTTAATAATTTAATATAAAATTAGGCTATAGTAAAATGTTGGGTTAATGTCACTTTTGTTACCGTTTTATATATATATATATATATATATATATATATATATATATATATATATATATATATATATATATATATATATATATATATATATATATATATATATTGCTTTTCAAGAGCTTAAACTCAATTTTTATGTGTTAAAAACGTCAATATTACCATTACCAAGTCGTCAGATTAGATAACATGCTTTCCTCGACAATGTATTTGCCCTCTTGTTTTTTCAATTGATGTCGGCTTCACATCATCCTCTTCCTTACCTCCCTTTCTCTTATCCACTAACACATTGTTGCCAAAGAAAATCTATCTCACCTGCTACGTACTGTTCATCGTTATCACCAAGATCAGTGAACAATGATGAATCGACAACACTCCCATTCGTCAATGCTAAATCACTTCATCCTTATAGGCTCCATGATATACACTTTATTGAACCCGCCGTAAATCCTCACCTTAATCCCCTTGATTTCATTAAATCAATCTCGGACCTCTACAAGAGAAACATTCTTTCTTCCTTTGAATCGGAAAGTTATGGTCTGTATTTAGAACAATGTGCGCTATTTTGCACAGTTGGTGATCCGAAGATGCTTCGAAGCAGTCTACTAGTTGTCGACATACATTTGAAGGTTGTACTCTCTGCGTGGCTACAATATGAGAGGATAAAAGATGAGCTTGTGGGCCTTTCCGACATGGATTGGATCGGTAAAGTTTTCGAATGCCCGATGTAACGCCCACGTTTCTCGCTAGGAATTAGTTATAGACGATGTAATTACGTTGGTTGACGATTGTAACCTTTTATGAATAAATGAAAAAACTTATTTGAAAATATGTGATTTGTGTGTATATAATAAAGTAACAAACATGAATAAAACTAACGCTAAAAATAAAATATTAATCAAGATAAATAGCCTTGATGGAAGTTAAAGTAGTCGTGATGATGATCTCGGGGATATAAGGAACGCTCGAATCTGACTTCGTATCAAAAAGTTATGATTCCTTAAAGTTTCGCGTTCAACCCTATACGACAAAGTGTGTCGTAAATAGCAAATTAAAGATTGGTCGCTTATTAGTCTTAGTAGTCTAAATGAAAGTCGTAGTAATCGTAAAATCGAGAGCATGCATATAGACCATACCTAAATCTGACTTCATATGAGGAAGTTATGATTTTTCGAAGTTTTAGTACAACAGTGCAGACATAAAAACTGAATTTTAGATCAGTCGATTGTTAGGCAAAACAATCTAAACGAGAGTTGAAGATCTCACGATATAAAGACAGTTGAGAGCAGAGGTCATATGAGAGGTTATGATTTTATACGGATTTTAACAGTCTAAGCCTGTTAAAAAAATATAACTTTAAAAATAAAGTGACAATTAGCCGAAGGAATCTAAATGAAAGTTGTAGTACTCGTCGATAACTATGCATGGATATAAAGATTGTCAAAACGGAGCTCGTATGGAGAAGATATGAATTTTTGAAAATTTAGAAATTCGTAGGTGCGCTTATGGAAGGTGCTAACATGGTCCACAACAATTTCTATGTATGTCAGCCCTTGTGGCCATGGAGGTTCGTCTGCAGTGACTCCAGGGCATGAAGCAAAGCTTTATGTTTGCAGCGGGGGATTAGTCGGTGCGCGAAAGCTGGCCCGGAAACCCTCGTTAGGGAAGATCCCTTTCCAAAAAAAAAAAAAAACAATTTCTATGTATGTCACGTTTTGGGAGGAAGGAGTGTCGACCATGTCAGGGCGCAACGCGCACCTCCGATTTTCTGCCTATAAAATCTCCCCTACGCTCTCATTCTTCCTCGCACCATTTCAGAATCTTTCCTTTGAAAATATTCAATCTTTAGCTCGAAATCCCTTTAGGTTTTAGGGTATTTAGCTAGGATCTGAAGCATCTGAAAGCCTGATAATTAGATGCTCTCGAGTTGGAGTTATGCCAGTGCAAATTCTGAATTTTTGTCAGAAATCTTTGTAAGTTAAGCTACACTTATATTGCTTTAGGTGTAACTTATATTTATATTCATAGCCGTTATTATGATTCTATAAATAAGATTTATCAGTGATTCCACGTCATAATACTGATTGATCTACTTACGGAAGTGATGTCTTATAGGCTAGATTTAGTGAGATTTTTAAAGTTGGATTTTCAAACAGTATACTCTGTATACCAAACAAACCATACTTCCAATATGATCTTACGTGGTTGCTCCTTATTAGCTATAGATCAGTAAACATTGCGATTATTGAAGAATCTAGACTATCATTAGTCACAAGGAATATAATACTAAGACTTAGTGATAATCACACTTAGGTCACATCAAAGGAAAAGTTAAAGTGCTAGGCGAAGCGCTGCGTATATCACCAGTCATCCACTTTAACAAGTGAGTGCATAGTTACTTTTTATCTTACACATAGATATAAGTATCTAGATGATTAAATTCTATATGTGTATATTATCTGTATTTCTTGATATCTATGTTAGATGAAATAATATGATTTTTACTTGACTTAATCGTATATGTATTTTCATATATAAAATATATTGGGTAGTGACGGGTGATGAAAGAGGAAATGATGATGAGAAGTCGTCAATGTTATAGTACTAGCGTATTGATGAACTAATGAGAATGGATGATCGGGTGAACTATTTGATGTGAAATATATAATTAAAGAACTTAATTATTATGGGTTGAAAACCCTATGTGCTCACTAGGCTCCTGTAATGCCTGCAGATTCAGGCTAGTCAACTTAGAGATAATAAACATTAAAAATTACTTATTGATAGAAGATTCTTTAGGACAAATAATCTTGAAACATCCCAAAAGTACTACCCAAAAATTTCGTTTTTTTTAAAACAATATTAAAACCCTAATATCATTGCCAAAGTATAAAAATCATAAACCATGTGTTTCAAAATGTTATATTATCTATCACATATCAAGTCTCATATCGAATATCATATCAAAATATCAGAGTAAAACTCACAGGCTGAAGATTGTGGTGTGTGCCATGCCATCAACTCGAGCCCTTCCCTTTGCTAGCCGAAGTACCTGAAACCAAAACTGAAATTGTAAGCACGAAGCTTAGTGAGCTCCCCCAAACTACCACATACCATACAAAACACATATCACAAATAACATAACTCTGGGACTATTACCAACTGCATCGGGACTAATCCCGACATCGGCTTACCCGACACTGGACTCCTGTCCGACATCGGGCTCACCCCGACATCCGACCACATCGGGCATCGAGCTCACCCTGACATCGGGCTTACCCCTGGCACATACATAACATAATCACATAATCTGCATCGGGCTTGCCCCGGCATCGGACCGAAGCCCGAAACAAATAACAAATAACACATAAACTAGCATACGTCAGGCTTGCCCCGAAATACATAACACATGGCATAATGACTAACATACATTAGGCTTGCCCCGATATCGAGCTTACCCCGAGACACTTAACACATAATATATAACATAATCACATATACTGCATCGGGATTGCCCGACATTGGACCGAAGTCTAGGACACATAGCACATATACATGCATGAATCACAAAGACATCAAACATACTTAAATACTTCCCAGGACCGGCCCGACATCGGACTGAAGTTCGGAAACATATGACGATTGGATGATCATTAGTCCTAGGGTACGGTTTTTGAAGTTTAGACTGATGGGTTCTCGATTTCGTGGAGTATATTGACAAAGTTGGTTTGTGGTTATAGTTCTGAGAGTTTCTTATTTGAGTGGTTTTCTCTGGAAGTTTGGTCATACAGTTAGCAATAGAAAATAGTTGTTGTGGTTGAGTGTTGTTAAGTTATTGGGTTGTTTGTTGGCAAATGTGGGTTTCCGAGTGGTCTCTGGAGTTTTCTTTATAAGATGCCTTTATTTCAGATTGGTTAGATGAATCTTATGGAATATGTTGGCGTTGTTTTAAAGATCCAAACCAAGAAGGATTTCTAGATGAAATCCTGTTTAGGGGGGGGGGGAGTTATAACATCCTGTTTCTTTCTTATTTTGGGATTGTGGATAATAAACGGATCAAGAAAAGCCTTGGGCTTTAAGGGAATAGGTTTTAGACCCAACTTGATGTTGATAGTATTGGTTATGAGATCCAAGCCCTTGGTTTGTGTTTTGGAGTCAAAGGGTAAAATGGCAAAAGTGATGTTTTGGAATTCTTTCATGAATTAAGGATTTTAGTTTGGTATGTTCTAAGTCAAATATAATTAGATAGAATTCTAGGGATCTTCAATACCTTTCCACACATATAAAGAACGCCAAAAACGGAGTTAAAACGAAGAAGTTATGGTTGTTTGAAGTTGAAGTGGAAATTAGGGTTTTGTCCCATGCAGGGCGTAGGAAAATTACGCAAGGCGTAAATGTTGAAATATTAGACGTGGGTTTAATAACCTATTCATGACTTAGGTTATGTTGTGTAGGGCGTAATTGCGGCAAATCAAAACCCCAATTCTTCGGTTTGAGCCCTATTTAAGGGCTCTAACTTATGGGGAAACCTCTCATGACCAACGTGCATCACCTAAGATCATTCCTTGAGAAACCCTAGCCTCTTCTTAATTGTTTTGAGCCTTTTCATAATTTATGAGCAAATTTCTCCATTGAAATGTTGAATCTTGAAGAACAAGGTGATGGCAAAGTGTATAGAAGAAGGGTTCAAGTATAGATCTGGCAAGGTTACTTCATTCCTGGACCATTGTGAGTAAAATTCTTTTAACTTGCTCA